TTTTATTATCAATTCCTTACTCAATAAACCTAAACTTAAAAATTCCTACAGCTCCTAGTACCTATATGCCTCCAACATGAAAAGAGAATCAACCCAGTTTTGGGATAAACAGGTACAGTTGTGGCAAGTCGGCAAGAGATAGACCCTTAAGTGTAAGGGTGACCATACCTCTCCAGCTGGTTTTAATGAATCCTCACAGCATTTAATAATCTAGGGCTTGGAGTTCATTCATGTGAGAGGAGCTCCACCTCTGTTCTAGAATTCCCTACAAGGTACTTTCTCAACAGTCAGGAGTCAGTAACTAAGCACCCCTCTGCCGCCAAGACTTGGACTCACTCTGCAGCACATTCACCTCTTTCTTCCTATCCTATTCAACCTGTAAGAGTATACACAGGTAAAGAGACATAAGAATTTGGGAGCCCCCACCCCTCTAGAAGACAGGAGTGCTTGAGGTTTAAGGAAATGTTTGAGTTTCCCAACTTCCTTGAGCAAAGCAAGGGCCTGGTGGCCTCCACAGAGGCTGCTGACCTTTCTGTATTCTTTAGAAAGCTGAAAAGGCAGGCTTGTCTGTGAAAGCAAGAGCACAGTACTTTTCAAGGAACTGTTAAGTATAGCCAAGAGCTACTTTTTTCCGTGCCAGGCTGCTACTCTAAGATGTTGAATAGCCTACCCCCAACATTCCCCAGCCTCTGCTCAATCAAATCCAGTGTTGCCACAGTTCTCCAAGACAGTTAGTTACCTTCCTCCCTCCCTCCCTGAGGCCCTGAGACACTTTATGAGGATTTACACCACAAAACAGATCTCAAGACCAAAGGCTGTAATAATATTCCATGAACTCAGAACCTTTCAGGTACAGCTCTGGCACACAGATGGCCCCTTCTGGAGATAGGCACTGGTGTTATTAACTTTTCCCTATTGATGTTTCATTTGTTCATCCTCAAGGACAGAGGTAAAGGAGATATGGAAGCAGGAAATAAGACAGAAGGTAACAAGCAAGTTGGGGGGAAAATTTAGTCTTTGTACTGAAAAAGGGAATAAATGTATAGCCGATATTTAACTTGACTATAATATTTAAAGCATTTTTCAAAGTTTACTCTGCTGCGCTCTTATGAGGCTTGTGTCTCATATCTTTTTTTTTTTTTTTTTTTT